AAACATGCAATAAAAATATATAATTATGATTTTTTTAGGCAAAATAGACATGCATTTGTATTTCGAATTGGGTCATCAAATGCTGTGCCACAACCTCCCCCCCCCACTCACTTTAAAGGTAACGTTACGCCTCCATTCACTCGCAAATGTAGCACACGTACACGTCTATTTGGGACTTTCTCGTTTAAACGAGGATCAGTCTTTGTGAAACGTTAAAAATCATTTTCGAGGCCTGTTGTGCAGCAGACTTGTCTATCTCTCGCATTTTCTGGACAACATCACGTACAGCCAACTATCATTTTTGCTGCTTTCGTTTGTTTGTTTGTCACTGTCCGCTATAATATGTAACTGCCAAAATCTACGACTAAACAGCGGGGTATTAGCTTTACGACATTATCTGATGTTGAGCTTGTTGATTAGTTCACTGGTAAGTGGCCAAGTGAAATACACAGACAGGCCAGTGCGTTCCAGCGTTAGCAATGCAGCTAAAAATCGATTTAAACGTTTTGCATAATCAATCGGGTTGCTTCGAGGAAAGAAATACAATTAGTTGACTTACCCCCTTAATATCCTCCAGCCTCTGTCACAATCGTCCTTTACTTCCAACTTTATTCAGCCCTCTTTGTTCGGAGCCTGTATTACCCCTGTGCCTATCTCTCTCTCTCCCCTAGACTCCAGTGCAGCGACGCGCACAGCGCTGTTTACAGTAGGAGCAGAACAGTGTTGCCAGATTGCGCATGAGAAACACACAAGTGGTCTGAAAAACATGCACAAAATAAGCGACCTATTTATTTTCCATGCGTTCTTTTTTGGTCAGTTAGCATAGAAAACACAAAACGCATGAGTTTCTAATACATGACGATGACATGATTATTATTTTTTTTACTCACTATATATATATATGCCTATAATGTAGCCTTTTATTTAAACTATGTATTTATCATTTATTCATCTTCATTTTTAAAATTGTATTAATTGTTAAATTTATAACGGTATTTGTCCATATACTTTTCGACGGACCTTCTGGGAATGGGCTCTCTTCCGTCGATCGTAGAGTCCAATGCAATACATAGTTCCCACAGGCAAAAAAATTGTCACGTGACCTCCCCGGAGACGCCATCTTTGAGGGCAAAACCGCTGTGTTTACATAGGCGTTTACAACGTTTTATCAGAGAATGTCGTTTTACAAACAAATATTTATGTCTGTTTATATTGTTATGCAAATCATGAAAAGACAAAGTTTAATAGATTATAAAGAGACTATTAAAAGAAGACATAGAGAGGTACAATGCGAAAATTTCATTCATAAATGTTGTGTATCCTTATGCAACAAAAGAAGCACTGAGCAACGATTATGCAACTTTGCCTCAGATACAGTATTTTCATGTGTACAATTATCTGGTATTGGTGAGGAGTTTTTACACATGTGAGCAATTCCAAGCCTGGAAATCACTGGAGGTGTACGATCAGATTGACGTGGGGTTGGTTTGGTGACGTTTGCTCAAGTGCAATCAATGGAAAAGTAACTTAAGTCATCATAGCGAAGTAGCATGATGCTAATCTGTCTATTAAAAAGCCATAGCCTGCACAACTTAATTCCTATGTTCCCCAGTCACCGGTGATTTCTGTAATATGCATGTACTTGCGGGCGTCATGGTTCGGTGCATGAATATTAAAATAATAACTCGCGTGCAATTTAATTAATGTAATAAATGAGGAACTACATTATACGCGGGATCTTTAGGGACATAATCTGAGATTGCAATGCTGGAATGTGAGATCAAACAGTGGAAACAATGTTGTTTTGTATGTTTTTAATACCTCGTCATTTTGTTCATACAGGACATTATTCAAACTGCAACCTGTTAACTTATATTTATTTACACTCGCAATAAAACACAACATTGTGCTTTTGTCAAACAAATTCTTGGGTGTTTTGAGTGAGTTTCTTTCCTGTTTATGCTCGCCAGCCATAATCTCCGTCGTTGTTCGGACAAAAGCTTAGTCTTCTTACATCCATATGGAGTCTAATGACGGGTATAGTGTAAAATCCCGATTTAACTGAACCTCCGGCACGATTTTATCATCCATTGACTCAGCAGGAGATGACCATTTTCACTTTATAGCACGAAACTCATTTCACTTCGTTCAACTCGTATTGCTTCTTCTTATGTTTTGCCCTAAGCAATGGCGCCGGGTCGGCAAATGCCCGTATGTTGTGACGTCATGTGGGAACTATGTATACCGGGAATTTATATTGAATTTTATACTCCATGGTTATACTAAAGAAACTTTAGTCACAACAAGACACCCCTCATTGTGTTTAAATGCTTCTTTTTAAAATTATATTAAAACATATAGACCATTTCACAAGATGTAAACAACACTGGTCCAGAAGCACTTCCTGTTTCAGTTTTTTAACACTACATAAAAGCTGGGATAAAATACAACCAACAGAACATTTAAAACTGAATCAAAAAGTTAAACAAATATCTTTAAGATGTTTTCTTTACATGTGAAATAAAGAAAACCGTTACAAACTGAAACAGAAGTGCTTCTGGACCAGTGTTGTTTACATCTTGTGAAATGGTCTATATATAAAATTACATCTAAACGTATGTACATTTCGTTTCAAAGACGGGAGGACAGTACATTTTGGTGTTCCTCGGTGTTCCTCCGCTTTAATCTCCACAACCGGAAATGGACGAGCATCCTTGAGTCAAATGAGGAACTTACGCGTGCATATAGCCCATAAGCCCCCCCAAAACGCATCCTCTACTGCTCATTCATCTGAAAACGCAAAGAACAATCCCCAGAATACGCGTTATGAGTGGACATGGCAACATTCGGAGCGAGATCATGCGTCAACACTACAGTCTATGGTCAACACATTTGCAGAGGTAATGTGCAGAAAGTACAAATAAGAGAGCAGGACAGGTGTGACATTGAAGGAAGCTGATAATGAACGATGTATAATGATTTACTTGACTCAATGTGCAGTAATGCTTTTGGCACAGACTATGGGTTTAGCCTACTAATTTAACATGCATAGTGGCACAATCAATTTGTAGTTTTCACCAAAGAGAATTGATGGGGGCGCGGCAGTGCCCCTGTGACAGCAAGCTTGGGCCCCCTTGTGTGGTACCCCCCCCCCCCCGGAGTTCAGCAGTTGGCCCAGTTCACCCACTTATCAGCCAATCAAAAAAAAAGAAAAAAAAAAAGAAAAAGAAAGGTGCTGCACAATAGCCAATCAGAAAAGAGCACTATTGTATCTGAGAAAGATTTAATGCAACAACCAATGGGAAAAAAAAGCATATCCTGGAATTGTTCACGTGATTCTGCTACAACATCTTCCGAAAGTTCCGTTCACCCACAGACGAAACTAACCACTCCGAGCATCATAGAGAGCACAGAGTAAGTCATGATCTCCTGTTTTAATGTTACAACAAATTCACAACTTGTTTGACAAAAACAATGACAACTTGACTGATCTTAGGGAATGCTTCCCAGATAATTAGCATCAGTTTTTCATGAGTGTCTGTAACTTATAGCCAACAGTTGTATACAACCTCACTGAAATTTCAAATGGCACTTAGAGGCTTTTGCATCTGAACTCTTCATATGCAAATGTAAAACATACAATGGAAATTAAAATACAGTTACTGTGACTGATCCTGAATATGTAATGCAAATGTAAAAATATAATGGAAATGCAAATACATTGTCGGATGATTATAAACATGGTATTTTGCCTGTTTATGCCTGCAGTGCAGTGCAGAAAATGATATGACAACAATAAGGTCTAAATGTATACATTGTAACTGGCCCCTCTAACAGTACAACTGTCCCCAGCTTGCCAACTTATTTGCTTTAAAAAGTCTTTTAAAATGTCAATGACGTCATACACATCGTGCAACCAGAGACCTGCTTTACGGCAATCCTTCAGTCACTTTGGTGATTTCTTTTACTGTCTATGAATCTTTGCTAATCAGCAAAAATTCACTATATTAGCATCATAGTGCATGGCAGTCAGTCATTGTAATACGAGTCCACAGAGTTGCAACTAAACCCAAGTGCAGTTATTAAACAAAATACAGATAAACAAAACAAGACGATGACTAGAATTGGGCTTGACTAAGAATATAGCATGAGCATAAACCCAGGGGCCAGTTGCAAAAACTGCAAAAACTAAGGTGTGTTCCAAGTGGACTGCAAAGTGGACTTCACAGGATATTTTACTATCTTAAGTGTGATTCCAATCCCAAGGAAACAAACATGTTCAGGGCACTGCAAACGGCATAGGGAAGGGAACATCGATACATCACTTCACAGGAAGTGGAGAGCGACAATCAACCAACTGTCATTGTCTACCCATCACCACCAGTCTGAACTAACCATAGAGCGAAGCTGTTGGAAGAGATTTTATATTTAAATTGTTCATGGCTGAGTTTACGTATGCATTTGAGTTTTTATAAATATTGTTATTATTTAGTACATTAGTATAATTAAAAAGAAGAAACGTTAAACAGCAACGTTTGTTTTAGCAACGTTTATGTTACATCAGTCAATCACGTTAGAGCTTAGCTAATGTAGCTACTGTTATTGATAGTTTCCACATGTTCACCGCAGTAAATTAGAAAAATACTCTGTATTTGTAGAGTGCTTTTACACAGTACATAATGTTTCAAAGCAGCTTTACAGAAAGTGCATTTCAGAACTGTACATAGAAAAAATACACATTAGTAAAAAGGAAAGGCCAAAAATAAAACCAGGAATAAAATTCCACAAATGAGGTTTTTTCAAACATAAATGTATGGGTATTATTTAAAGTAGAGAAATCTAGAAAATTAAGGCCGCCATTTTTTAAACAGAAAATTAAATACAATCTCATCGCACAAATAAACTAGTGGCTCTTACTGCAGCGCCAGAGCCATGGCTCTGTGCAGCGCCAACGATACGTCATGATTTCTGAGTCTCTGATTGGCTGATGATGAGGTGGGTGGTGTCATCTAGAAAAAAAAACGGAAGTGCGATTGTTTTGGTCGATCTACTTGAACACACAGGGGGAGGAATGGAGGCGAAACAAGAGAGTCACAAGGTGAGTAGTGATAGTGTTTGTCAATAACCTCAAGTTTAGATCGACAATATCACATGTGACATTATACTACCCAAAACGATATATACTGAGTTTACCTTTTCACGCATCTATTGTCACTGGATAAGACAGTTTTCCATAGCTGGAGCTAGTTAGCGATAGCTCTGGCTGGCTGGTGACTGACTGACGCTGTTCAAGCTTTAAGGTTTAGTCACTGTCATGTCTTTATGATGGACTGATTTCAATTACCACTTTCGCTCATTGGGTAACACGTTCAGCAAGGCAAATGTTTTGAACGACGTTACTGGTTAAACCAGTTAACTGGAGAGATATGCTCATAACGAAAAGCAATATTGTCGATAAGTTAGCTGAGTTGACCCTACCACTTTCTCCCTGTGATTATTATCTGTTGCTGATCTGACTTCTGAAATAAATAATTTGTAACACGCTGAATTATCAATCCAGTTAAGTATATTAGGAAATGTACTCTCTATAATGGGTTCAACCATTTAAATTATTTAAATCTGTTTAGGGCTGTTGATATGATCAAAAGTGTAGGATTGTATCTTAACATCTTTTTTCTATCTATCGCTTTTGTTGGAATTCCTACTGTAAACGTGTGATTATATTATGTCATTCATCAGCTGATCTTTGAGAAGGAGGGAGTTTACCTCCACACCAATGCCAAGAGGAGCAATCAGGACACAACCATTCCCGGCTTTATCCGGATAGTTGAGCGGGTATGACCAACAGACAGTATCAGGATTGTCAAATGTTATTATTAAACGCTTATTATGTTTATATTTATTATAATATAATATATTTTTAATGTTGTTATATATTAATAGATACTTTTGTCTTTAACTACATTTACAAAACCTGAGAGTATTTAAATGCTGTTGTGACGGTTATACTCTTACAGGATGGAGAGCCGGCACTAGAATGGAGTCCTGTTGAGGATGATGGGAGAAATGCTCCGGCTGTCTTCTACACCAAAAAGGTTGGTAAAGGAAGGACTAGAGGAGGATGTAGGTGTTCCTCAAGCACAGAAACACTCACTCTGTGTCTGAAATCTCATACCGTCTGAGTAGGTACTACATAAGAATTTGAACTTGGCAACTGTTAAAAAGTATGGTCTATAATATGAATGTGGGTAGTATGTATGAAATTCGGACGTACTACATCTGCCATGTTACTGTCACGTGACCTACCAGCATCAATTGCATTGCTTCACTTCCATTCTTAAATCATTTCCTGTGGCCTCATGGGATATTAAAGTATCTATTGAATGCGCTCTTCAGAATCTCGCCGAAAGTAGTAGGTCATTTTCTCCTACTGTTTTTTGAATATGATGCATTTGGACATACTTCTCTGTTGGCGGAAATTTTTCACATATTATATAGTAGGGAAGTCTTCGATTTCCGATGCAGTGCCAGTTTACTCTTCAAAGTTCAAAGATCACTTGTCATATGGACTGAGCAGTCAGTATTGGTCAAAAAGGTCAATATTGAACTTCATGTTTAAAGGAGGGGAGGGGGGGGGCACTCAGTTTCAGTCAATCTTATGTTAACCTATAGAGTAATATTGCATCCATCATATCTCCAAAAAGTCTTTAGTTTTATTATATTTATAAAAAAAAAAAGATAGGCTCTACTGAGTATTTCCAGCAAAAGCAGAGTGGGAAATTAAATTTTTCTTTCATCAAAAACCTTAATTTCTTTTCGACTGAATAAAGAAAGATGTGGACATCTTGGATGACATGGGGGTGGGTAAATTATCAGCAAAAGTTTTTTTTTTTTAAGTGAACTACTCCTTTAAGTTGTAATATTTCACCGTATTACTGCTCATTTACAGTATTTCGAATAAAAAAATGCAGCCATGGTGAGCATAAGACACTTCTCTCAAAAACATGGAAAAATCTTTCCAACTCAAAACTTTTCAATGGTATTCTATGCCATGTAAACCTCTGTTTCTCATTACATTCTGTTTCTTGAAAGGATGGCGAAGGAGGGGAAGAGGAAACTAAGTTTGACCCAGGCTATGAGCCAGACTGGGCTGTCATCAGTAGAGTCAAGCCGGACAGACGGCAGGAACTTCCACCGGTCAGAGAAACGGGTACTGTGCTAAACTGGTACTTGTCCGATGATGTACACTTGCATTATAAACAGGCTTTTAAAAGTTGATGTCCTCCATCTTTTGGCAGGTCAGTGGGGCTCATTCTCTCTGCCCCTGTCAGAGCTGTACTCTCTTCGGAGGGCTCGCTTCTCTCTGGGAAGAAACTTCTTGGTGCTGACCAGCAGAGGGGGCGATCCTCTCCCACCCCTGCATTTCCGTCGAGGGGGCACTAGAGAGCTGCTAAAAGCCATGCAGCGTTACATCAGACTGGCCCCGTGAGTGCCTTCCTAATATATGTTTTTGCAAACAACCCTTTTGCATTTTAGTACCTAAGTATTAACATACTCATGTGACACATTCTGGTCTAAGGTCCCCGATGGATGGTAGGCTCTTCCTGGCATACCCACATGACTCTGGGGCCCTGTCGCAGTCGTTTGATGAGCTGCACCTATTTGATGATACCAGTGCAGACCTTGTGTCTGTAAGTCATATTTATTGTGTTTTTAGTGTGGCTAAAGCCATAAGCACGGGCCTGTAAACATGCCATCTGATTGGTTGTATCTACAGAGGTTCATACAGGACCCTTATGCGACTACATTTGGGGGCTTCTCCAAAGTGACTAACTTCTTCCGGGGAACACTTAGACATCCAGAGTCGCCCCACAGTAACCGTTCACCTCAGGACACCCATTTCCCACATCCAGCTGATGAGGAGCCAGGCTTTGAGCTCATTACCTGCGTGAGTCTTAGTGGATGCTTGCTGTCTATCTATAAATGTTGATTTAGTGTGTAAACCTGGGAAAAAGCTAAAATATTCCACCAGGGAGCGGAGCTCGGTCCCAGACCAGAAGTCAAAAGAGGAAAGCCGTTGGATGATTGGGATCAGTTTTTGGATCCAGAGGGCCGTGTCACAGATCCACAGAGGGTCAAGGAGTTGGTGTTTAGAGGGGTGTGTCTATGTTTCACTGATCTTTTTTTAATCCTCCTTACATGCCACAAACCAATGGAGTTTCCATTAAATAAAAACTTCTCTGCTTTTTCTAGGGCATTGTTCCATCTCTGCGGAAGGAGGTATGGAAGTTCTTACTGGGGTTCTACCCATGGAACAGCACAAGCAACGAGAGAGAGGACATCCTTAGGGTCAAAACGTAAGCTGAACATATTTTGTTTTTTTGTCTCAAACCAGAAATATGTCCAAATTTACATACTGTATTTGAAGAGTTCAGATGCAAAAGCCTCTAAGTGCCATTTGAAATTTTCTTCTAGAATGATCATTTTTATCAAGCTTGTATATTTAAGTTCAGTAATTTCACTTAAATTGCAATGAGGATTACCTATTAATTGTCATTTAAGTGAAATCACTGAACTTGAATATATAAGCTTGATAAAAATTATCATTTTAGAAGAAAATTTCCAATGGCACTTAGAGGCTTTTGCATCTGAACTCTTCATTTGTTCTCTCAACCTAGCGTGAGCTATTTGCAGCTGTTGTGGTTTCCTGTGTCCTTTTTCTTTAGTATTCTCATGATCACGTTAGACCTAAGCTTAGCACAGGATATGCACACTGCAGCTCAAAAGTTTGGGTTTCGTAAGATTTCTTAAAAATGTTTTTGAAAGAAGGCTGTGCTTATTGCTCACTTTTCAAATATAACTTTTATCTATTTTAATAGTTCAGTATATAATTTTCACAGATTAATTTTCAGCATCATTACTCCAGTCTTCAGTGTCACATGATCCTTCAAAAGATCTTTCTAATATGCTGATTTGCTGCTGAAGAAACATTTCTTTCTGCTTAGTATTTTTGTGGAAACTGATTTATTTACTTATATGTAACACTATGAATGTCTGCATTCAATTTTGATCAATTTAATGTATCTTTGCTTAATAAAAGTATCAATTTCTTTTTTTTACTAACTAGAATCATTTGAACAATGGTGTATATGCATAAAGTTTTGAGCACTCTTTTCAAATCTGTGAACACCTCTAAAAATCAATGTAAATTATTCTATTAACTTTTATGAGATGATTCCACTCGTTCTTTTCCTTTTCAGGGATGAATATTTCAGGATGAAGGTTCAGTGGAAATCAGTTAGTGAAGAGCAGGAGATGAGGAACTCTCTCTTCCGAGGATACCGTAGCCTCATAGGTACGTTCAGCTGTGTCATAAATCTTACATCAAGTCTAACTGGTGACTTTCCACAACTGATTTGCTCCTACTCTCTGATATGACAGAACGGGATGTGAATCGAACAGACAGACAGAATTCCTTCTTTTCTGGGAACGAGAACCCTGGGCTTGCTCTGCTCAATGATGTACTGATGACGTACTGCATGTATAACTTTGATCTGGGTATGTGCAATTCACTTATGTCATTTTAATGCCACCTACCGACCACTAGAGGATGCTGCTATCTCACTTCATTCCTCTCTCACTCTGCCCTGTAGGTTATGTCCAGGGGATGAGCGACCTTCTGTCTCCTCTCCTCTTTGTTACCCAGAATGAGGTGGAGTCCTTCTGGTGTTTGACAGGCTTCATGGATCTACTGGTCAGTGAACACTCTTGTTTTTCATTTGTGTGTTGATCAATTCATGCATTAAGTCTTTCTCTGACTATAGCACCAAAACTTTGAAGAGTCTCAGGAGGCCATGAAACAGCAGCTCCTTCAGCTCAGCCTCCTACTGAGGGCACTCGATCCAGAGCTGTGTGACTACCTGGGTAAATACAAACACACATTCACTATAAATGTAATAAAATATATGTGTTATTATTATTATCTTTTGGAGGGGTGGATTCGTGGTGGCATGATCTGTTTAATATTTGTTGTGGTTTTCTCTCCCAGACTCTCAGGACAGTGGTTCACTTTGTTTCTGTTTCCGATGGTTACTGATTTGGTTTAAGAGAGAATTCTCTTTTGAAGACATCTTGAGTCTTTGGGAGGTAAGATGAGATGTATTTCTATGAATTATGTAGTAATTGACATACAAAAAAGTAATATTAAGTGTTTTTCTATTGAGGTGTATGTTACACAATAAATATTTTCATGCACAAAAAACAACACATTAATGTTAAATTAGGGTAAAATTTATATTTTGTAAACTCAGATGATATCACTGTCTCTTAAAGGTGCAATAGGTGATTCTCTACAGAAACATTTTTTGTTATGCTGGTTGAAAGTCTCCTCATATCCTGAGGAGGATATCTAATCGCTACGTTAAACGTTCTAAATGTATTTTTATAAATAGATATCATCTATTGAAGGTGTAGCACCATAAGATGTAAATCCAATTATTATATTCGGCCTGAAATGAAAAGATACGATGTCCTATCTGCCTGTCAAAGTTCATTTGTTACATTCCCTCACACACCCTGTTCATGCAGACATCATACGTCATCATGTTTCATGCTATGCAGAATATAGGCGCGACACAAACAAACAACAGCCATCGTTAGTTTCTCGTTCACACCATAACTACTGTAATTAAAGGAATAGTTCACCCAAAAAATGTAAGTAGCCCATGATTTACTGTCCCTCTGGTCATCCTAGGTGTGTATGACATTCTTCTTTCAGACAGATACAATCAGAGTATATTAAAAAATGTCCTGGCTCTTCCAAGCTTTATAATGGCAGTGAATGGATGTATATTTTTGGAAGTCCGTCAAAGTGCATCCATCCATCATAAAAGTAATCCACATGGCCCCGGGGCGTTAATAAAGGCCTTCTGAAGCGAAGTGATGCGTTCTTGTAAAAAAAAAAAAAATACATATTAAAATGATACAAAAAAATACAAAATAACTAGCTTCGGGCAGACGGCCTACGCAAGTCGACTGACGGCAAAAGAGTAACACTTGACGATGTATGACGTAGGATGTAGACAGGGGCGTCGAACTGGGGGTAAAACCAGTACTTATTACCAGGGGAGAGAGGGCCCTTGAAAAGTCTAGAATATACTTTTTTTTTACCTGGATATTTTCATTTTCTAATTAAATTTCATAATGAATGTCAGATGAAATGTAAAGTTAGTGTATTGACTGAATAACTTGAATTATTGACTCACGGTGCCACCTCTTGCTAATGCACCAAATGGTTAAGTCCATCTGCATGCATTTTGATTTTGTTAGTTAGTTGAGCATCTAGTGGAGTGCAAACTTCTGCAGTAGAAATGTTTTTCTCAACGAAAGCCAAACCAGGCCACCAAAAAAGAAAGGAAAGACCAGAGAAGGAAAGAAAACAAAATTAGGGGAAAGGTAACTGACTTCTATTCAAAGATACTATGTGAGCACAAACTAGAAAACGAAATCTATATTGCCAAACTGCTTGAATATCTCAGAGATCGTTAGTGCTAAAAATGAGCTGAGACAACCCATTGAAAGAGCAGAACATACACTTTCAGACGATAATTTGATTATACATCTAATCTGAAATTAGCCAGGAGGAAAGTAATGGCGATAGCTTGTAGGATAAGTGTGCCGTGTAAAGTGCGAATACCAAGCAGCATCTCCAGGTGCTCCCTTGAGTACCAGACAATACCTTAGTACAAATACTTAGTACAAAAAACTTTTGTTGATCATAGTTTATTTTTTGCAATAATTCAAACCTATCGGGTGTGTAATGCTAACTTCCGGGTTGGCCTATACAAATGCATCATCACTGCAGCACTTTATAGTTTCAGGTAACAATAATGAGACTGCTTCCCATGTTTTTCAGGTCCTGTGGACTCGTCTGCCTTGTGAAAACTTCCACTTACTTATGGCCTGCTCCATTCTCGAGTCACAAAAAGGGGAGCTGATTGGTTCAAATCACGATTTTAATTCTATACTTAAGGTGTGTATGAAAGCATTTTAGCCCGTTGAGACAGAATCAAGAAAATGACACATTGAGTAAGTTAGTTGTTTTATTGTAAATGTGTGCGTATGTGTGTTTACAGCACATCAATGAGCTGACCATGAAGCTAAATCTGCAGTCAATACTCTGTGGAGCAGAGGCTATTTATTTGCAGCTGGCACACTGCAAGGTGAGATGGCTTAGATATGACTGCTATGAAAAATAACCATTGTCATGCATGATACATAATGCCTACTAACTGCTCATTTCTCAGGAGCTGCCTTCAAAGGTGCAAGAAGTTATTGGGCTGCATGTCCCATCAAGCTCAGCAGAAGAGAGTCCCGACTCAGAGCCCAGAGAGACGGACACCCTTGTCACTCATTCAGAGGCCAGAGGAGCCACTTCCTGCCAGCCGTTTAACGGGCAGACACCACAGCGCCCGCCTCCTACGTACCCCTAATTCCAGAAGTGGATCGGCTGAAGGGGAACAGATGATTTTAGCTGAAATATAATGATGAATATTCCAAAAATGATGATTGTGTTTATAAAATATGGTGAATGTAATTCAGAGATTGAAATCTAGATCTGCATAAACCTAATAAAAAGGAGATCAGCTGACTGTTTCAAACTGTACTTTCCTAAGAAGGGCTGAGTATTTGCGACATGCTGTTCAGAGTGATGTGTGAATGACTTTATAGACATTATAGACAGAGAACAGAGAACCCTGCTTATAGTGTGCCTATTATAGTCGCAGCTCATATTTTATCTGTTAATATTTTATGCATTAAATGAGCATTAGAAATCTAATTGTTTGATCCACTACTTGTAGTCCTGAATTCCATGTTATTCCTTATGTGTTGTATGATAGTGTATATTTTTTCCTTTCTTTTAATGTTTTTTGTCTCCCTCACTTCCCTTTACTGTTACACTCAGTGACAGAAGATAATGCTTTGCACTACCATTTTGCATGCAGTGTAGCAAAGGCTGTCATGTTTGTTTTTAATATTACCCATTTTCATACAGCTAAAGCATCTATAAAATAAAGCATTGAAATTGAGTTCATGACATTTTGAGTTTGAAGTTTTGTTCTTTGCCAAATGCCCAATTTATTCATATTCCTTGCCCAATTATATTGGTTTTATATAAAACGTTTTTTAGCCTTGACAATACAAATAGCTTTCTTGGTAAAACTATAATAAATCTAAAAACATTTGCGTTATTACGTTACATATTATCAGCATTACAGTATATGTAAGTGTTCATTCCGATAATAAAAAATGTCGTTGAAATATTTTTGTGAATAAATTAGTCAATAATCATTTTAAACACGGTTATGAGTAGGTGTTCCTAATAATCCTTTAGGTGAGTGTAAATATTCATTCAGACAAATGTAATATACATTTTTATTTCTATTAAAAATGTAATCCTTTAATCCTTTTTTTCCTTTAATCCTCCCTTGTCTGGTTTATGCTACTCTGAGCAATGCCTGAACTTTGTATTTTGAGCACTTCTTGCGTTGTTTTTGCCTTTTGATCCGCTTGCTTTAATCCTCATTTGTAAATCGATTTGGACAAAGGCTACTGCCAAATAACTAAATGTAAATGTAATGAAGAAATTTCTTTTCTTTTTTTAAACATGCCATAGCATAGACAAACATTTTTTTAAAATTTATTTAAAATATTTTTCATCTTTTTATTCTTATTATCTTAATCCCACAATAAACTGCTTTCTCTGTAATATTTAATATATTTTATTTAAAAAGTTAGCATTAGATTATATGTAAATGTTTATTTAGATAAAAAAAAGTCTCTTGGAAATTTAATTTTTTATTCTAATAAATAAATGGGGGGGGGGGATCAACTACAACTACATTCATTACATTTATTTAAAATATTTATTATTATTATTCATCCTGTTGTTTGTAACCCCTTTTTACCCACCTCTCTCTCTCTCAGATTCTCACCTGAATAAATGGATAGGTCACACTTCATTATTTGGAGGATTACAACAGCTCATCCAGTTAAACAAAAGCCTTGAGAGAGAAATGAACTGAGAGATAAGAACTTAGAGCGCTTGTATTTAGAATTTATTAATAGAAGAATTAATTTATTCTGTTTAGTTAGTAAACCCCCCAAAAAAAGAGTAAAACGATGAATTAAAGAACCAGAAAATCTTTTATTTCAGCAAATGTTTTCTTAAACCAGTTAATTTATGTCTGGCACAGAACCGCATGGCTCACCACCAGTGCCGTCGTCCCACAAACAAACACATTCACACACTCCATCAGCAGGTGTCTGACTGGGGTTAAAAGATCAGGGTAAATGGGGTCACTGTTGCCCACTGTCCTACCAAATGAGCTGGAAAATGAGGGGTGGAGAACCACGCCTCCTTCTCGCCGTCCTGCTCTCTGCTCTTTCTGCCGGTCGTCCTCCTCTTTTCTCTGTCTGTCTCTCTCTCGCCCTCCCTCCATTTTCCCACTGTGTTTGCTTGAATACAGCTGCAACATATGAATTTAGCATGGCACTTAAACAGGTGGATCTGCCACCCTTCTTTGTCTCGCACACAAACACACTTTTACTCCTGAGACTCATCTTGTCCCTTTTACGGCCGGCATGACCTTGCTTTATGGTGAACAGAATTAAAAGAGGAGTGTCTCATTCAAACTCAATCCGCTCGGAGTTAAGCTCTAGTTAGTTTTCAATGACTAAAGCAGTTCAAGCAGCTCTATGGGCCTGAGTGAAGTCACTCTTTGTACATTTGAGAACTTCATCGGTTTTTAGAGGGTTATTGTTGTGCGATTGTGCCAGTTTGGCCAGTATCATTGGACTCCTGAAGTTTCCAAATTGTTCTGTCCTCTTTACATTTCACACAAATGAAGGTAGAGATGAATATGTTCTTGAGAATTGAGAAGTGACCTTTCGACTTTATAAAACAGCCAAAATAAGTCAAGTTTTTTAAGTTCATTTGACCAGACTTGTGTATTCCTCTTGTTAGAAAACCTCAACTTTTTCCATTTGAAATATTCAGCCACTTGTAGACACGATGACAAATCCAGTCCACTTAAACGTGTCCTGTTGTGATTGCGAGGGCCATCCAGAGTGGAGTGTGAGCGTGTGAAGTGTGTGTGAGTGAGTGGGAGCAGAAGGCCAGGCACTGGTGTCTGACAGTGATTTGTAAAGAGAGACAATACGGCTCATTGACCTGCCGGCTCCACTGTCTGTTGCACATACCTCGCCCAACCCTCCCATGAGGACTCACCGCTCTTTAAACAGGACACCAGATTGCCACAGGCCCAGGGAGGGGCCGTGTGCTGTGTGAGATGGAGAAACATAATGGGAGACTAGTTGCTTTGACAATGAGATTCCACAAAAAACAAGGGGGGTGACAGGGTGATTAGGTGGCACGTGAGTAAGTGTGACTTCAGTGCGACGAAAACAAAAGTTGCACACTCTCCAGTTCTAGCCATCAGTCTCAGTCTCTGTCTTGCACTCCTGTATCAGATTTCAAAAAGCTTCTCCATCTGCTCTGAGCCTGATGTCATTTCAGACCTTGGAAATCAGGTGTTCTGGGTTATCAGTTTCACAGTTTCTTCAGTTTTGAGACTTCATTACATATTCTAGACAAGACAAAGTAAGTCTCTACATGATACCAAAATCCAGAGCTAAAAACTGAACATTATGTTTTTAATGTCAGTAATTTTACATGTGAGGCACCTCAGACAAATAGGGCCTGAAACTCTTAAAGCTACACTGTGCGATTTTTACCCCATCTAGCGGTGAAAAGGTAGATGACCATCCAGTGAATATTAGATTCTGTTCCTCTCAATTCCGATTTCGTTTTAACTCCTACGGTGGTCAGTGTAGTGCAAGATTAACATAGCTTCCAGTTTGACCTCGTTCATGAGTGTTAACTCAAACGTAAACGCGAAAGGCAAAACTTGAATTAACGGGTATGTCCCTCTTTGGCTAATGTACTTTCAAGATGGAGGGGCAACATGGTGACCGACTTTAGAACCCCTAACCCGTATGTATTTTCAATGGCATAATTATACACTCACGAGAATACTTTATTACTTGAACGAAGTAAATATTAATGAGCACAAATATTTTTGAAAGAACTAAGTGTTTTTAGCTAACAATAAACTAAAAGAGTTACACAGTGTAGCTTTAAACCAGAGTTTCCCAAATTGAGGTTTGACAACCCAGGGGGGTTCATGAGTTCATGTAAAGTTAATAATTAATTGAATCATGTAAATGTGCAATTACATCCAAAATCTGAAATATTTCGCTTTTTCCTTTTTTGTCATGTGACCAGCATCTGAGAAGAACCATGAACATGCGTATGTGTTGTTAAATTATTAAAATATTAAATGAAAATCTCAGGCGGTACTTATTTAGTAAATATTTTAGGTCAAATGGGTAGACAAAGTTCTGGAATCCTATTGAGTCATTTCGTCTATTAACTTGTTTGCAAATGTTAAACCCTGTTGCCAATATACTAGGCTAACAGTGTTATAAAAATCAAAAAGACAATTTATGAAACTAAAAATTACTTTAAGGTGGTTTGTAGTTATTGATAAACTTCTATTTTCCATAAATTTAAGATTTTTTTATTATTATATTATTTAACAATACATTGTGTCTCTAATGCTAAAGTTATGAGACACTTAACCATATTTGTCGCTTGAGATTTCTTTAAAATCCATGACCTTCAGCAACTAGCAGGAGGTTTTAGGAGTCAAACACATCAAAGTTCATGAATTACTGCTTATCTTTATTCACTATATAAATGTGTAAATGTTATTTTTATCTGATACCCTTCACTGTCACCAACATCACGTCTTATTGTTATTCATTCCCATTGTCACAGCATGGTGATGACCTCTTTCTCTCCCCTCTCTCTATCGCTCTCTCTTTTCTTCGCTCACTGACGGTGACAAGCTGTTGCCGTGTCCCTTGGGCGACTCTCTCTCTCTCCCTCTCTCTCCACCTGTTGATGCCATTGTTGCTCAGCCAGCATTGTGGTCGTGTAATTTTTTACTCCACTCATTTTACACACCCCTCTTTTATTCTTCACTTTATTCATCACCAGTCCCCCTTTCACTCAGGGGATATATAAGCAGACCAAAGAGAAAAGGCGGCTGAGAACAACGCGAGAAACAGACACTCACCAGCACACATTAAGCACTTTAAAAAGCACAAGGAAGTTGGCACTTACTCTTGTACTCGGGACCAAGACTGGTGAGACACACTTTGGACAAATTCAGTATTGGATCACAACTGCTGGCAGGAGTAATGTCGGTGTCTCTGTGGTGTGAGGAGGAAGAGGGCCAGGACAGGTCTCAATCTTCAGTCCGAGCCCCATGGGACCCCAGCGCCTCCGGGCTGAGGGTTATTCAGAGACTTCTGCAGTCAGAGGAGAGATACCTGCCGTCTCCTCTCTACACCTCTCTCATCCAGAGAGAACCACAGCGCAGAGAGGAATTGGCCAAGTGGACCATGGAGGTATTTGCATGCTAAATACCAAAATCCAGTTCTTAAAATACTAGAAAAGGTTCTATAAAACCTTAAAGGTTTCTGTCAGACGCTTCATAATGAATCTTTTAAGGGTTCATGGGATTATTTTACGGATTTAGTTTTCATTAATGTTAAAACTGTTAAACATGAAAGCATTGTGCAATCATTTAAGATATTTCTCCTTATATAAAACCTTTTTGGCATATAAGGGGCTCTTTAATATTGAGTCAAGAACTCTGATCCTTTTTTTTTTACTAAGTGTGTGTTTTAATAGTCATTTTATATTCACAATGGTGTAAAAAAGGGTCAGAAGCGCAGGGTTTTCCAAATTGCGGTAAGGGTTGAGTAAAAAGCCAATAATTTACCAAAACTGTAGAACTAAAATAAACCATTTAAAATCAAAACAATCAAAATAAAACACTTGTGAAACACTGGCCAAGTGGAACATGAAGGTAGATTTGGGGTTTTATGAAGATCTGTAAACTATTTTAAATGGTTTGAAATATTATTATTATTATCATCATTTTAATTTTTACAATTAAAGAGACGGCTCACCTAGCAAATAACTCGCAAAATATATATTTGAATAATGTTTCAAATGTTTTTGTCCAAATACTTAAAAAATCACTGGGTCCAAAACATTGGCCACTATATGGACAAAAAAACCTGCAACACCTTTTAGAAATATCTTCTATCAAGAAAGTCAGGTTTGAAACTAAATGCGTAAGTGATGATATATTTATTTTTTTGTGTGATTCATCCCTTTAAGAAGAAATTATTTAGTTACTAAGAACTACATGAATGATGTATGACATATATGATATAACAATAATGACAGGGACAAAGTTCTACAGTCCATATGTTTTTTCAAGTTCGGGACCTGTTTGCTATGACTGAGTTTTTTTTTATGTTAATATTGTTGTTGTTTTAATCATCCATCCCTCTTTTAATAGGTGTGCTGTGAGTGTGACTGTGACGAGTCTGTATTTCCTCTGGCTGTCTCCCTGTTGGATCAATATCTGTCGGCCACTCTATCTCTGCCCGTCTCCCCATCCTGTCTGGCTGCAGCGTGTGTCCTGGTGGCCTCAAAATTGACAGAAAGTGACACAATTAGTGCAGATACCCTCTGTGCAGCAGCAGAGTACGACTTTCTCTTATCGAATCTGCGGGTGAGTGTTTCACCATTTAAAAAAACAAAAACAATCAAAAGTCACTAATACTAGGCTAAATATTATGCACGATGTCATATAACAATAAAATAAAATATGATAAAATAAATACCTAGGCCTACTATATATAAAGAGAGAGATAAGTCAGTATATTCATGCTTTTTCCAAAAGGAAATGGAGCGTGTTGTCCTGGCGACTTTGCGATGGGATGTGGCAGCAGTGACCCCCCAAGACTTTATCCCACACTTCCTGCGCACTCTCGGGGAACTCAAGGATGGCGACGTCCGTACAGGAGACTTTCTCGCAACGCTGCGGCGCCACAGCGATACACTTGTTGCCATGTGTGTGTGTGACTCGCGTTTTCTGGGAACACCTCCGTCACTGGTTGCTGCTGCTGCACTGAACTCTGCCCTTCGGGGTTTAAGGGCCAACGGTCCGGGAGAGTTGAGTGTCATGACCTCTGCCCTGGCTACACTCTGTCAGACTGATGTGGTGAGCAAAGATTGATCTCCTCTGCTTGTGTTGGTAGGCTGTGTCTGTGACTGTTGTTGTTGACTGTCTGCGCTTCTGCCAACAGGCGGTGCTGCAGTGCTGCACTGAGCTGATCGAAGGAGCTCTCAGGGAGAGACTGAGAAACGGAGCACAGGAGGAGAAAAATGCTGATAGTGAAGATGAGAGAGCCAGCACCCCCACAGACCTAAGAGAAATAGACTTTTAATACAGGGTTCATTTATGAGTCATATTTATTGCGTCTCACTTCTATTTATCAGTGAAACTGATTTAAACACGTACGTGACGTTTAGCTTAGGCTATATATTTTGTAACTTCTGAAGTGATCTAATTTATAATGATTTTTTATTATTTATTTGTTTAAGGGATTACGATTTACTTGTGCCATATTTATAACGTCTATTGCCATAACTGTAATTTTGACTTTTTATGTATTTCAGGTTTATCCTTTTCACTTTATATTACATTTCTACATTTTATAGTTGATTTATCATATTATTTATTGTGTGCATATTTTTATATTTAATTTATTTTGTTCGTCAGTGTTTCAGCCTGTTTGTAATCATAGTGTTGGATAAAAAGGTATATCTATTTTTCAAAGTTATTGGAATAAAGTGTCTATGTTTACCAACACTGTGCATTTCTCAAAGTCCATTTAACATGCAAGATGAAGAAAGAAACATGGTGCAAGATCTTGGTCCTTGCTCTTTTAGAAAGTTACTGGCATAATAATAATAATAATTAAAGCTGCAAGCAGCATTTAGCGGGGTTCAAGCAGTTTAGGCCTTTAAGGCCTTTAAGCACAAAAGCATCAAAAGACATTAAGTTTTAAGTTTCAATAATGGCAATTTATTATAGGGTATACATTGTTTTTAATATTTTTAACAATTATAGCGCCACCTATAGTCCGATCTCCATGAAACTTTGCATGCTTGTTGAATACGTTATGACACATGTGCTCATCAATTTTTGTGAAGTTCTGACTTTTCCTTTAGGATTTATAGGCTTTTGGGTGCATTTTGTCATGCCCCCTTTTTTAAATGACCCTGTTATAGCAAAACAAATGACAAAGTTCAACTTTTTTTGATAATTATTGATCTAGAGAGTCCAAAGAATTGTCCCAGACTGGTCTGGTTCCGATCGGGCAAAAAAACCAGGGACTAGTTCGCAAAAGTAGGTTTTTAACATATTCGTGAATATTTAACGAACGATTTGATTGACAGCAATGGTTCTTGAGGCAAAGTTGTTCAGCATGAGGAGATCTATCAATTGATATACATATTGTGGGGTGTGTGCAACACCACGTGATAACAGAGCCATAAAACTCGTTAGCGCCAACTAGTGGCCGATTTCTTTCAAAATTCTTACAGACCTCTAGGGCCATGAGTCAAACATGCCCAACGAGTTTCGTTCCGATCGGCCTTCGTTAACCTTGTTTTATAGGTGCTCAAACTTCATTGGCCGATGGCGGCCATGTTTTTTGAGATACACCAATGTCCTCATACACATACATGGGGCCTTGGACAAAGACACTGCATACCAATTTTCAAGTCAATCGGACTAACGGTCAGCTGGTCAGAGCCCTTTTTTAGTTTTATTCGTTTTATAGCGCCACCTAGTGTTCCATCGTGGGGATTTTTTTACTGTGACCTCAAATTGAGCTTATACATATGTGTACCGAGTTTGTTGAGGATATCTCATTTACTTCTCGAGTTATAGCCATTTTAGTAAAATAGGCTCCTCCCACAACATTTATTTTGCGCCCCCTAGCGACCGCAAAGAGACTTTTTCAACATTTTTTTGATAATTATTGATCTTCAGACTCCAGAGAACATTCCTGCACTGGTTTGGTTCCGATCGGGCAAAAAACCAGGGACTAGTTCGCAAAAGTAGTTTTTCGACAAAATTCAAAATGGCGGAAAAATTTCCATACCGGAAATGAAATCGGAGATATACGTTTTTTTCGTCAGGTGACCAGCTTTCCAATGATATAAGACACTTGAGTGTACGACTTACGGTCTAGGAGTTATGAGCCGTTTCGCGCAATTGGTCGCTATAGCGCCACCTATGGGCCAATCGGGCTCATAATTTGATAACCTCTCCTCGATTTTTGTACTACCATCTGACAAAGTTTCAGAGCTCTAGCCCTTACGGTTTGGGCTGCACGATGCGTTTTAGGGGAGAATAATAATAATAATAATAATAACAAGCAGCATTTAGCGGGGTTCAAGCAGCTTAGGCCTTTAAGGCCTTTAAGCACAAAAGCATCAAAAGACATTAAGTTTTAAGTTTCAATAATGGCAATTTACTATAGGGTATACATTGTTTTTAACATTTTTAACAGTTATAGCGCCACCTATAGTCCGATCTCCATGAAACTTTGCATGCTTGTTGAATAAGTTATGACACATGTGCTCATCAATTTTTGTGAAGTTCTGACTTTTCCTTTAGGATTTATAGGCTTTTGGGTGCATTTGTCATGCCCCCTTTTGTAAATGACCCTGTTATAGCAAAACAAATAACAAAGTTCAACATTTTTTTGATAATTATTGATCTAGAGAGTCCAAAGAATTGTCCTAGACTGGTCTGGTTCCGATCGGGCAAAAAACCAGGGACTAGTTTGCAAAAATAGGTTTTTAACATATTCGTGAATATTTAACGAACAATTTGATTGACAGCAATGGTTCTGGAGGCAAAGTTGTTTGTCATGAGGAGATCTATCAAATGCAATTGCATTTCGTGGGGATGTGAGCAACACCACATGATTACAGAGCCAAAATCTAGTTAGCGCCAACTAGTGGCCGATTTCTTTCAAAATTCTTACAGACCTCTAGGGCCATGAGTCAAACATGCCCATCGAGTTTCGTTCCGATCAGCCTCCGTTAACCTTGTCTCATAGGTGCTCAAATTTTTTACAGCCAATACTGGCAATTTACCATAGGAAACATATGGTTTTAAAGCTTTTTAACAGTTATAGCGCCACCTATAGTCCGATCTCAATGAAACTTTGCATGCTTCTTCGGCATGTTATGACACATATGCTCATCAATTTCTGTGAAGTTCTGAGTTTTCATTTAGGATTTATAGGCTTTTGGGTGCATTTTCTCACGCCCCATTTCTAAATGACCATTTAACACCATGCGCAAATTTAAAAAGTTCAACATTTTTTTGATAATTATTGATCTAGAGAGTCCAAAGAATTATCCTAGACTGGTCTGGTTCCGATCGGGCAAAAAACCAGGGACTAGTTCGCAAAAGTAGGTTTTTAACATATTCGTGAATATTTAATGAACGATTTGATTGACAGCAACGGTTCTAGAGGCAAAGTTGTTCATCATGAGGAGATCTATCGAATGATATGCATTTCGTGGGGATGTGCGCAACAACACGTGATTACAGAGCCATAAAACTCGTTAGCGCCAACTAGTGGCCGATTTTTTTCAAAATTCTTACAGACCTCTAGGGCCATGAGTCGAACATGCCCATCGAGTTTCGTTCCGATCGGCCTCCGTTAACCCTGTCTCATAGGTGCTCAAACTTCATTGGCAGATGGCGGCCATGTTTTTTGAGATACGCCAATGTCCTCAGACATACATGGGGCCTTGGTTCAAGACACTGCATAACAATTTTCAAGTCAATTGGGGTAAAGGTCATGTGGTCATAGCCCTTTTTATGTTTTTTTAATGTTATAGCGCCACCATGTGGCCAATCAACGCCGTTTTTTTACTGTGACCTTAAAATGTCCTCCTACACAAGTGTTTTGAGTTTGGTGAAGATATCTCATTTACTTCTCGAGTTATAGCCATTTTTGTAAAATAGGCTCCTCCCACAACGATCAATTTGCGCCCCCTAGCGACCCTGAATACAAATTTCAACATGTTTTCGATAATTATTGATATTCAGACTCCATAGAACATGTATGCACTGGTTTGGTTCCGATCGGGTAAAAAACCAGGGACTAGTTCGTAAAAGTAGTTTTTCGACAAAATTCAAAATGGCGGAAAAATTTGCATACCGGAAATGAAATCGGAGATATACGTTTTTTTCGTCAAGTGACTAGCTTTCCAACGATATAAGACACTTGAGTGTACGACTTACGGTCTAGGAGTTATGAGCAGTTTCGCGCAATTGGTCGCTATAGCGCCACCTATGGGCCAATCGGGCTCATAATTTGATAACCTCTCCTCGATTTTTGTACTACCATCTGACAAAGTTTCAGAGCTGCAGCACTTACGGTTTGGTCTGCACGATGCGTTTTACGGCAGAATAATAATAATAATAAAAATCCTACCAATTACAATAGGGTTTCAGCACTTCGTGCTTGAACCCCTAAAAATCAATACAATTACAATAGGGTTTCAGCACTTCGTGCTTGAACCCCTAATAATAATAATATAGACTATGGTAATACGATCGTTTGTTATTAGTTTGTATATTACAATTATTATTAGTAAATTATATTTAAAAAAGAGAAATAACTTTTTTCTAATTATTTTTATTTAATTTTTTACAAACGTAACAGCTGATTTGTTACGCGATACTTAGGCCTACATTAAAAGGATATAATAATTTTCAAATAAATTGCCATTTTGGAAAACTGGCTTAATGGAATTATAGAAAAATGTATTACATTTATAATTGTAAAAAGCAAATGGTGTTACTATACAAACAGGTACGGCGAAATCATGTG